GATTTATGGGAGAACTCTTCAGGTCACCGTTATGGTATTAGTTGAGCTGGTATTTTTCTTGTGCTGGCAATTTTTGAGCCCCTTTAAACTTATAGTAGATGAGCTCATCAATATACTCTATTTTGATGCTGTGATCCTGCCATATATGGTCTTTTCAAAGTAATAAGTGCACTTTATTAATTTTGTTGATGTTTTTGGTCAAATTCTTGAATTTAAAGTGTTGTTTGCTGCGGGTGATGGCTTTGTCAAGGAGGGGAGAGATAGGTATGACTTGATGCCTGGCCTATTCCTTCGGCAGGCGGAAGAAAAAAATATTACACCGTTCGTGTCAGTCGTTTTCACTTGTTGTACCGGCTTCAATAGCTGGTGGAAAACGGGCTGCCGGCGAGGCAACCAAGTTTCCTGACACCTCCATTATCCGCAGCTAACAAGACTGTGCATGCCGACTCATTGTATTACAACTATTGCACAAAATAGCGCTATTTCAGAAGCATTCGAATAAACACCTGGCCAGCCAAGGGAAGCCATCAAACTGCACCTGCACCTGTCATAGCGTTTTGACGTTGAACTGATAATTTTATATTCTTGCCATCTTTTTCCCCTAAAATAAAAGTAACTCTTTGTCCGTAATTTTAGAAATGGTGATGTCGCAGAACTCTGTCCTCCTTTCCAGTGTTCCCTCGGGCTGCTACTCGGCTCGGAGGGGCTTTGTGCACTCTCGCTGATTCCTTCTAGTAGTTCATGTTAACTCACTGGTCTCACCAGAGTTTCATAACTTTTTTAAAGTAGCAAAAGTTGGAATTGCATAAGTTACACTAACCTAATCTGAACAATTCTTAAAAAAATCTTTTCAATCTCGACAACATGCTTATCGCGTGAATGTATCTGGAAAAATACTACCAGGGTCCTGCCTGCAGAACAGGACCCTCTCCGCATTCACGCGGCTGGTACAAGCCCTTCATCCTAATACCATTTTGGCTGACGCCCACTACTGCGCGCATGATCTAACCTAGACTGACCACTGACAGGATTTCTGTGCTGACCACTAACACTTGGCCTAATTCCCATGTCTTGGAATACGGCCCATTTCATCATATTTCTCCTTTTTAATGAACGTTTGCCAATGTTCGGCGCTTATCACATTTATAAAAACACCCACCATGTGCTGGGAAAAGGACGGCTCAGCGTTCGAAAGAAATTCTGTGGTAACAATATTGGAATCTTAGTGAAAGCTCCTTATATCCTAGCTGACCATGAGCAGCTTTCACGTGCCGGTCTGCTGGTGGCTATCTTTAGACTTTAACTTTTGGGTGAAACTCTAAAATTTAGCGGTCGAATAATTTTCGACTATATCGCTGAGGAATAGAAACATCTTGGCTCACTGAGCCTTTGCCCATTGATTTGAAAGCTTCTTCTCTGACCCACGGTTCCCTATCCTGCCTCCTATATCACTGCTTGCAACCAACGTCCTACCGTCGCTGCGACGCTCGTTATGAAGTTGGTGACCCTCTTTTTTGACTCTCTACGCTCCCTTATCACCTCCTGCGGCTCACATATGATGTTCTCATCCCGTCTCCCATCTTACTTTTTGGTACCAGCTTCCGCAGTTGTTGTGGCCTGCGCTATGAACTTGCTGATCCTCCCCTTCTGAGGCCCCTTTCCTATTTATTAGCTGCTATCACTTCCTGATAAGCACCAATATTGTTCCCATTCTGCTCCCCCCCCCCCACCCCCTATCACTTCTTGGAACGAACGCTCCACTGTTGCTGTGAGTCGCCCTATAAATTCGGTAACACTTTCCTTCTGAGGACCGCTATCGTATCTTATCAGCTATTATCACTTTCTGTCACCCATCAGCAGTGTTCCTGTCCCACCTCCTACATCACTTATCAATTTGAACTCTCTACGGCTGATTTGAAGGAAGTTATGAATTTCCGGTCAAACACACATACAAACATACATACACACGCTCACACCAACAGACAAACTTAGCGGATTGTATATAGTAGGATTACCTACAATCTTACTGATTTTCCTAAATTCGCACGATTTTTGCCAACATTCTTCACAGTACCAGGAGAAATTTGCATTTTTTTTCTCGGTATTGCCGTTGAGTGAGAAAGCCAGAAAACAAAACAACTACTAACTTGTGCTACTGAGAAAGAAGCCGTAGAGCGCCTTGACTGCGCAGCTGGGTGGAGACCAAATACCATCTCCCTCTCAGAGCGGCAAATACGCCTACACTGGGAGTCTCTCAACGTTGTGGATGGCGAGCGTGGAATTCATTCGACATGCAATTTTCCCGATGGCTTATGGTTAGCTAGAACATAGGAGATCAGCTCGATATCAAGATGGAGAAGTGTGTCCGCAGATGTACAGTAGTTGAGATAGAGAACACACTATCCTTTCACCATAGGATCATAATGTAGTTTTATAAGTTCGTACTGTCTCGTATAGCAAGAGCATGAATGTGTGTGAGACATGTTGAGAAGCTTTTTATTAAAACCTATACAAATGTTCTGAAAGTGAGGGTACTATTTTTGCTTTACATTGAACCTTGTCCAACAAACTTCTACATCTTCTTCAAACTGATGCTCCTGAAGTATTCACTTTTACAATTAGGCACCAACAAGCTGCTGAAACTGCTTAAAGTCAGTGGCCGAGACAGAAATCCACCTCGGTTTCGACGGCACTTATGAGCTTGAATCTTGGCCTTTAACGAAGTGACCACGTTGTCGACCTTTTCAAACAGCTCCATCAAATTGGACAATCGACGAGGGCATTTGCACTCCAACCATCTTTGAAAAGAAGGCATTGCTCTAGGTTGATCACCTGAACACTGCTGTATTGTCCGTACAGCAATGAGGCCCAGCTTTGACCTGGGAAATTGGCAATTATGTTTGTCGCGCGGTCAGGAGAAGGATATGTGGCAAGAGAGAACCGTAAAAAAAAAATTCGCCGCGCCAGTGGGCGTCGCGCGCGACGTCTCGCCTGGCTAATTGAAGAACATTTCTAGGTAGTAGTGGTCGAGAATAGATCTATGTGTAGACAAGCATAGTCATCGAGTGTTTCATCAATTCTCTTTGTCCGATTGCCGCGCGCCGCGAAGCGGCGGATTACGACTCGCTTGCCCTTCCACCGGGAAGCAACATTATCGTAGTAAAGCAACGATCCTTAGCCCTCTTTCTAGATGAATAGCAATTGCTTCAGTTTCTAGCCGCAATTTTCTAGGGATGAGCTTATTGTAGGAGTTCATTTAGGAAGAGCGTAAGGGGGTGGAGAGGCAGCTGCTTGTGATGCGAGGGGGACGGTTAAGAGGGAGAGTTGTATTTGTCGGCGTAGTCGCATGCGGCTGTGGCGTGAGGTCACGGCGGAGTGAGGTACGCGAGTGGCGTCCTATTGTAAGTAGCCAAATCCGCTGTGAAGTGGAGACACACACCAGTACCGGCCTTTGCCGTCCGTCTAACCCTTGAATTCAACACGGCTAGACAGAACAACTCGTCTTCTTTGTCGCGTACGTCCGCGCGCCACAGCGCCCGCTAGCGGCGATGTATTATGGTCCCCTTGCCCCATACCCATAATGCTCACCCTTGTTTGTTCATTACAGAGCGTCATCATGTCTTCACACTGCAAATCAGACTGCGATGAAATCTCGTTCCTGGATTCACATACTTCTGACGTTTCCGTATTCATGCAGCTCCGGACATTGTCCGAGGAGGTGTTTCTGTAAGAAATCTTCATCAGTTAGGCTGTTGCAGCTACCGCTTGTTGCCTTCGTAGAGTGCTCACTTAGAAAACGCACATAGTCGTGATTTCTGCAAATTGTAGGGTGTGAAAGAGCGTAAGATGAAGCGCACCTTTCCACCGGTTGTTGCGCACGTGTCATGAAACCATTGGTGAAAAAGGCTTCTGGGCAACGGCACCGAATGCTAGCCTCGTCGCATGCCCTATCGTTTGCAGAGCTTATGATTGTATGTGTCGTTCTCAAGTTGGAGGTTGAAGGTTTGGAAGCGACTTGAAGTTGTGGTACTGACTCACGCTTACATTGACCACCTAAACTCGTTTTACGGTCCCACAACGTCGATATACTACGGTAAAAGAACTTACTCCCAACACTTCATTGCTGGATCTGAAGTCACCGACCGCATCAGTGCCACGCGATCAAGTAAAGAACCACCCTTGATGAATCGTGCAAAAATGGCTCTCGCGATGGTTATCAAGCTGATACAGAGATGAGCAAAGACTAGCACGTATACTCTAGTTCGCTGCGGACGATTGGGCATGTCAGGCAGTATGAGTGTGTCACCTCGTCAAAGCCGTTCTCTGCCTTCTTGTTGAAGCGCGCATGCGAAAAAAGTGGTAGAAAACGAGTAATACGAACGATATGATACAGTCATTGCTCGCTTTAACAACTGGTGGAGAACGGGTTTGGCACCGCGCCAAACTCATCCCGCCTGACACGCCCAACCGTCCGCAGCGAACTACACTATACCATTAGCTTGGGGTGATTTAGTCACTGGGCATTTAGGAACAGATGCTAGATATGTCAAGAGAGTTGAGATGAGATACTGGCGCACGTGTGCGTCGAGTCTTATGTTGAATCTTGTATATATGATGCTAGTTGTTGTATAGTTGAACATATAATCTCAGTAATATCTTGACACTTGAGAAGGTTTTGCACTACCTACTCCCTCACTTCCAAACTCAGACCAGATTTTGATCAAAGCTCTTCTATCCTAGATTCAGCAGAATTCCCGTTTCCAGATGCAATTTTGCCTTCAAAACACGGATGTTATGGCCATTCAAACGGCTACCCTTCGTGTTTTAGCGCTGGCAACATAGCGCCCATTTCAGGCGTTTTCACGCCCAGCTGGTGTGATCTTGGTGTTTAGGCAGGGTACAGCATCGTTGTGTGAAACAACATAAGGGGTTGTACTTTTCCGTTGAGAACGAGGGTCGTATTTGGCGATTTGGTCGTTGGAAGAGGGGAAGGGGTCGCGCATGTGCCTTTAAGAGCAGTTTGCTGCAAAAAAATTTTCCTTGTACTATATGCCCCACCCCTCCCGCTCGACAGCAATTGAGTCGAATTTGTTATGTTACGAATCGCGGTGCACACAACGCTCGAAAGCCGAGCAGCTCTCTGCAAAAATATTCT